GCTGCGGGAGGAGCACCGCGTGGCCATCCTCATCGACGGCGAGACCTCTGACATCTACGTCCTGCAGCTGTCCCCCCAGGGCCCGCCCCCGGCCGCCCCCAACGGGCTCTACCTGGCCCGGAAGGCCCTCAAGGGGCTGCTGAAAGAGGCGGAGAAAGAGCTGAAGAAAGCTCAGAGGCAGGGGGAGCTCCTGGGCTGCCTGGCCCTGGGGGGCGGCACGGAGCACCCCGAGCTGCACCGCCCAGGCCCGCCCCCGCTCCGCGCGGCGCCGCTCCTGCCCCCCGGGGCTCGGGGGCTCCCCCCTCCTCCGCCCCCCTTGCCGCCGCCCCTGCCTCCCCGGCTGCGGGAGGAGGCCGAAGAGCAGGAGAGCACCTGCCCCATCTGCCTGGGGGAGATCCAGAACGCCAAGACGCTGGAGAAGTGCCGGCACTCCTTCTGTGAGGGCTGCATCACCCGCGCGCTGCAGGTCAAGAAGGCCTGCCCCATGTGCGGCCGCTTCTACGGGCAGCTGGTGGGCAACCAGCCCCAGAACGGGCGGATGCTGGTCTCCAAGGACGCCACGCTGCTGCTGCCCAGCTATGAGAAGTACGGCACCATCGTCATCCAGTACGTCTTCCCGCCCGGCGTCCAGGGGGTAAGGAGACAGCGCGCCCTTCCTTACCCTCTGCGCCCGGCTCCTGCCCTGGCCCGCGACGGGTGAGGGTGAGTGTGCTAGGCGCGACCCCCTGCCGCTTCCGGGCACCGAGAGCCGGCGGGTCAGGCCCGGCTCTCCCGCCCAGGCCCCGGCACAGCCGAAACCAACCGGGGCACCGAGTTCTCTCCCCTGGGCGACCCTGCATGGGCGCTTGGGCTGGGGGCGCCCAGGACACTCAGGTGTGGGCAGGAGCAGCAGGCCGGGTCTGACGCCCCCACAGAGCTGGGCATGGCACTCTTGAGACCTGGAAGGCCATAAAACCTGGCCACAGGGAAGGCGAGCCAGGCGCCAGAGCTACAGGTGTCTCCTCGCGTGGGGAGAGCGACCGTTTGTGTGCAGAGGGGTGAGGCGGCTCCCAGGACGCGGCAGCAGGGAGAGGGAGCGCCTGGGTCTGGGCAGTGAGAGGCGGCGGGCGGCGGGCGGTGGGCGGCGGCCTCCTCTTCCAGCCCTCCTTGGCTGCTTGGACACGCCGCGACTGCCTGCACAGCTCTCGGGGCGGCTTCTGGAACGTTCTGGCGTCCGCGTCTCGGCCCCTCGCGCCTCCTTGGCTCCCTGTGGCGTCACCTCTTCTTCCACTGCCGGGAGAGGCTCTCCTCCTGCCTCTCCCTCTCCTGATGGTGTCACCTCATGCCAACGGCTGAGCGAGGCCTCCTTAGCGGCCGAGGCGGCCCCTCGCTTCGGAACGGCCCCCCACCCCGCCCACTGCGGCTCCTTCGGTGACCTCTGCGCCCCCCCGCCTCCCTGCCCTCCGCGCGGGGCCGTGTCTGCCCGAGCAGGCCCCGCCCCCTCCCCGCGCGGCTGCCTCCGCTCCCTGACCGGTTTTGGGCTCGCTGGCTGTGCGGCCGGGCCGCCCCTCTCCCTGCGGCCCCTGAGCCTGGGCCTCCTCTGCCTGATCCTCTCTTGCCCGGGGGCAGGCGCAGCCCCTCAGATCCTTCAAGCCCGCACTCCCGTCTCCTCGCCCCTGGGGACACGGGCAGGCCGGGTCCCTGCCAGGGCGTCCGCCCCTCAGGGGTATGCCCCTTTGTTCTCCAGGGTAAGGAACACCCGCTTCGTAGCGTGCGTGGCATTCCTTTGCTCCGAGGACTTGCCGGTGACCTTTTAGACCCATTTAGTGCTCTGCGGCTGTTGGGTGAAGGAGAGGGCTTCCCAGCAGACCGGGCAGGAATGTGGCATGACCAGGGAAGGTTCGGGGCCAGTGAGAGGGCTCACCCCCCCCCCCACGCCTGGCAGCTGCGTGGCCCACAGAGCAGGCCCCTTCCTGCTCACCAATGTCCGTTTCAGGATTCTGAGCTGCCTGGCACCCGGGGTGTCGTGGGCGGGGGCGTGCCGGGGCGCTGCCTGCCGGCCCCGTGGGCTTGAGCGTCCTCCAGTGAAGTAGCCTCAGGAGGTGACTGGCCGCGCCGGCCTCGGGGCACCCCCCCGGCCGTGCAGAGCAGCGCTGTCCTCGCGGGCGGTGGCCCTTGGACTCGGGGAAGCCAGGGGCGAGGCAATGCGGGTTATGGCGTGAGGGCTAGCCGCGGAAATCTCACAAAGGGAACCCAAGGCACGTAAGGACACAAGACATTGCCCCAGGACTCTACTGGTGTCGTCTCTGGCATTATTTCCTCACGTACAACTGGAAACCCCGGCGCGTCTCGGGGTGCACGTGGGGCAGGGCAGCGGGGCCGCCGTCAGCTCCTGGCTCGTGCGTGCCGCTCACAAGTCCTGGGCGGGCGCGCGGTCTGGTGGTGGCGCTTCCGGCCGCCTCCACCCCCAAAGTCT